AGTTTAGGTTCGACAGATTGAATGAGAGGAGGGAGTTAGCAAGAGAATCACATGATAGTTTTGGAGAACAGTCATGTGAAAGGTGCTAAAAGTAGAGGTTTTATTGAGGAGAAGGAGGAAATTGTCAGAATAAACCATTATTTCAGCATGAAGATGAAAATAATTTGGCTCTTAAAAGTGAGCATCAGCTGTCATTTGGAGCTACTTATGTTTTTACCCCAAAAACAACAAAAGATAAAACGTTGGTAAGGGTTTAGATAATGATGTAGTAAATGTTGAACACACAAAATAGGGACAGCAGTAAAAGCAAGGTTGAGTGAAAAGTTTTTATATGGTGTATTTGAAAAAGAATTGCCAGTTTATTAGGTACATCCAACTAAAACTAATTCAGTCTTATGTAACAGATTCCATTAAAGTTGTCGTTTTAGTTTATTAGCTGTTTTTTAGTTTTTCAGTCTTTTATCTAACTTATGGTCATTTGGAAGACCTGTAGTTTGAGGTGCTGTTAAATAGCAATGAGAATAGACAAGATATTATTAAACCTTTGAGAAAGAGAGTGCGAGAGAATGAACGCTTTAAAAATGAAACATACTCCCTCTGCCTCATCTTCCCTGGTTTTCTCTCTTCCTCTGTCTTGCCCCATGGTTACCATGGTGATAGCAATGTACACTCAGTACCTCAGCAGCTCTCTGCAGTACAAACAGGACTTAAGGCTTCCTGGTCTGACCAGATCTCTATCTTTTTCATACATCATAAATATATATACATATATTTGTAGTATACTGTGTATCTCTTCCCACTCATGTGTTTGTGTGCATGTTCCTTATCAATGACTTTGCCCAAGTGTGTATATGTGTGTACATGAATGCAAAAACTAAGTTGTCTCCCTGTCTCTCCTTTTTAACTTTTTAAGAGTGTCGAGTTGTGTGTGTGTGTGCTGTACTGTGACATTTAGTGCTTTTGTTAAATTCAAATGTCTGTAGTTTTGTCAGTAGTTTTCTTTTACACTTTTTTGTTTTATGTTTTGTTGTATTTTTGATATATTGTTTGTGCTCATTATCCTTTTGTTCTCTCTCCATCTCTCTCTCTCTCTCTCTCTCTCTCTCCTCTCTCTGTCTTCTCCTCTCTCTCTCTCTCTCTCTCTGTTATCTCCTCTCTCCTCCCTCCCTCTCTCTCCCTTCCTCCAGGTACAAACAGTAAACATGTGGATCTGAAGCTGAAGAAGCTGGTGGACGTCAGCCCAAGAAGAGCCACCTCCCCTTCATCCCCATCCTCCACCTCTTCCTCATCCTCGCCCACTGCATCCTCCACCTCCCCACTCAGCCCTGCAGAAGGACTGGAGGTATATGCACATACTTGCCTCAAAACACCCATTGGGTATCTTTATTTTCTTTCTATCTATCTTATTTCTCTCCACCTCTCTTCATTTTTATTACTGTCTCTCTCTCTCTCTC